CCCCACTCACCCCAAAATCCCAATCCCACATTTTCCAGCTCCTCTTCATCCCCCCTCCATAACACCCGGAATTATGGATTTGTAGGGAATTCTGACACCCCTCCCCACAGGGGTGTGCCGGGGACGAGCCGAGCGGGGCCGACTCACCTTAAAATCCCAATCCCACATTTTCCAGCTCCTCTTCATCCCCCCTCCATAACACCCGGAATTATGGATTTGGAGGGAATTCTGACGCCCCTCCCCACAGGGGTGTGCCGGGGACGAGCCGAGCGGGGCCGACTCACCTTAAAATCCCAATCCCACATTTTCCAGTTCCTCTCCATCCTCTGCCTGACCATCCCCCCTCCGTAGCACCCGGAATTATGGATTTGTGGGGAATTCTGACGCCCCTCCCCACAGGGGTGTGCCGGGGACGAGCCGAGCGGGGCCGACTCACCTTAAAATCCCAATCCCACATTTTCCAGCTCCTCTTCATCCTCTGCCTGACCATCCCCCCTCCGTAGCACCCGGAATTATGGATTTGGAGGGAATTCTGATGCCCCTCCCCACTGGGGACGAGCCGAGCGAAGCCGACTCACCTTAAAATCCCAATCCCACATTTTCCAGCTCCTCTTCATCCTCTGCCTGACCATCCCTCCTCCGTAGCGCGCGTTGCCGGGGAAGCCCCTGGCGCCGGCGGGGAAGGCCCCGGGCTCGGGGGGCAGGATGTTGTGGGAGAAGAGGGAGGGCAGGCGTTTGGCGCCGGGGGGCCCGCGGGGCTCGTGCCAGGCCCCGCGCCCGGGGAAGGGCCCCGAGGGCCGCCCGTCCCGGCCCCAGCCCTGCCCGCGCTGCCCGAAGCCGTCCCGCGCCCGGCCCGGGAACTGCTCCCGCCGGGCCCCGGGGAAGGGCTCGTAGGGGCCCTCGTAGGCGCCGTCGTTGTCCTGCTCCGACTCCGTGTAGTCGTGGTAGTCGTGGTAGTCGTTGTAGTCGTTGTAGTCGTTGTAATCGTTGTAATCATTGTAATCGTTGTAATCGTTGTAGTCGTTGTAGTCATTGTAGTCGTTGTAGTCGTTGTAGTCGTTGTAGTCGTTGTAGTCGTTGTAGTCGTAGCCAGGCCGATACAGGTCGCGGTCGTTCAGGGAGGACCTCGAGTCGTAGGACTCGTAGGGGTCGTACCTGCGGGAGAAACAGCCCTGAGATCCCACGGGACCGTGGAATGGTTTGGGTTGGAGGGACCTCAAAGATCGTTGAGTTCAACCATCAACCCGGCACCGCCATGTCCACCCCTGAGCTGCGTCCCCAGGTGAGATCCCACGGGATCATGGAATGGTTCGGGTTGGAAGGACCTCAAAGATCATTGAGTTCAACCATCAACCCGGCACCGCCATGTCCACCCCTGAGCTGTGGTCCCGGGTGAGATCCCACGGGATCGTGGAATGGTTTGGGTTGGAGGGACCTCCAAGATCATTGAGTCCAACCATCAACCCGGCACCGCCACGTCCACCCTTAAGCCATGTCCCTGGGTGAGATCCCACGGGATTGTGGAATGGTTTGGGTTGGAAGGATCTCTGACCATCAACCCGGCACCGCCATGTCCACCCCTGAGCCGTGGCCCCGGGTGAGATCCCATGGGATCGTGGAATGGTTTGGGTTGGAAGGATCTCTGACCATCAACCCGGCACCGCCATGTCCACCCTTGAGCCGCGTCCCCAGGTGAGATCCCACGGGATCATGGAACGGTTTGGGTTGGAGGGACCTCAAAGATCATTGAGTCCAACCATCAACCCGGCACCGCCATGTCCACCCCTGAGCTGTGGCCCCAGGTGAGATCCCACGGGATTGTGGAATGGTTTGGGTTGGAAGGATCTCCAGACATCAACGCGGCACCGCCATGTCCACCCTTGAGCCGTGGCCCCAGGTGAGATCCCACGGGATCGTGGAATGGTTTGGGTTGGAGGGACCTCAAAGATCATCCAGTCCAACCATCAACCCAGCACCGTGGTCCCCAGGTGAGATCCCAAAGGATCACGGAATGGTCCGGATTGGAGGGACAATCATCAGCTGAGTTCAACCATCAGCCTGGCACTGCCCTCGTCACCCCCCGAGCTGCATCCCCAGGTGAGACTCTGCTGGATCATGGAATGGTCTGGGTTGGAGGGACCTCCAAGACCATCCAGTCCAACCATCAACCTGGCACCGCCATGTCCACCCCTGAGCCGTGTCCCCGGGTGAGATCCCATTGGATCATGGAATGGTTTGGGTTGGAGGAGCCTCCAAGACCATCCAGTCCAACCATCAACCCGGCACCGCCATGTCCACCCCTGAGCCGTGTCCTCGGGTGAGATCCCACGGATCGTGGAATGGTTTGGGTTGGAAGGATTTCCAACCATCAACCCGGCACCGCCATGTCCACCCTTGAGCCGCGTCCCCAGGTGAGATCCCACGGGATCGTGGAACAGTTTGGGTTGGAAGGACCTCAAAGATCATTGAGTTCAACCATCAACCCAGCACCGCCGTGTCCACCCCTGAGCTGTGGCCCCGGGTGAGATCCCACGGATCGTGGAATGGTTTGGGTTGGAAGGATCTCTGACCATCAACCCAGCCACGTCCACCCTTGAGCCATGTCCCTGGGTGAGATCCCACGGGATTGTGGAATGGTTTGGGTTGGAAGGATCTCTGACCACCAACCCGGCACCGCCGTGTCCACCCCTGAGCCGTGTCCTCGGGTGAGATCCCACGGGATCATGGAACGGTTTGGGTTGGAGGGACCTCCAAGATCATCCAGTCCAACCATCAACCCGGCACCGCCGTGTCCACCCCTGAGCCGTGTCCCCGGGTGAGATCCCACGGGATTGCGGAATGGTTTGGGTTGGAAGGACCTCCAAGATCATTGAGTTCAATCATCAACCCAGCATTGCCCTCGTCACCCCCCTGAGCCGTGTCCTCGGGTGAGATCCCACGGGATCGTGGAATGGTTTGGGTTGGAAGGATCTCCAGCCATCAACCCGGCACCGCCGTGTCCACCCCTGAGCCGTGTCCCCAGGTGAGATCCCATTGGATCATGGAATGGTCTGGGTTGGAGGGGCCTCCAAGGTCATCCAGTCCAACCATCCACCCACCACTGTGGTCACCCCTGAGCCGTGTCCCCAGGTGAGATCCCACGGGATCATGGAATGGTTCAGGTTGGAGGGACCTCCAAGACGATCCAGTCCAACCACCAACCCGGCACCGCCATGTCCACCCCTGAGCCGTGTTCCCGGGTGAGATCCCATTGGATCATGGAATGGTTTGGGTTGGAGGGACGGGGCTTTTTGTTTGGCGAGACAGGGATGAAAAATCGGCGTAAAACCCAATTTTCCAGCTGGGAAAGGCAGGAAGGGGGGGGCGGGACTCACCTGTCCCCGACGGCTCCGTAGCGTCCCCCCGGCATCCCCTCGGAATCCGGGTGGGATCCCACGTCCGGCCGCTGGCTCATCTTGCCGAGGCCGTCGCCGCTCTCGGGCGCCGCGTCGGCGTCGGAGTTGCCCATTTCCCAGGAATTGCCGGCGGCCACGCCGTAGCCGAACCCCCCCGAGTTATCCTGCCCGTAGCCGTAGCCATAATTGTAGCCCTCGTAACCTGGAGCGACGGGAAGAGCCGGGAAGAGCCGGGAGTCGGGAAGAGCCGGGAA